GAAAAAAAAAATTCACCATTATATCTTTCTAAATTTAAAAGAATAGAGAATATTTAAAAAAAAATACTCCATTCTTTTATATTCTGGAAAACCTAGGCACCTGATGGGGACTTTTTGTCACTTTCAACACAATAAAAAAAAACCAAGTAACAATCTCATGGGTTTTACTCTATTATTTTGAACCAGAGAAAACTCTGGACATGACAATAATAATCATAATGTATTATTTTTCTCTATTTTAGATTGTTTAGATGAGTACACCATTTTCAAAACTGTTTGCTATTATTTATAAGAGTAAATATCCCCAAGTTCGATTAACCAAAAATTCACCCTTCCAATTATTTGAAATTTCTTTATCTAAAAAAAATCTTTTTTTTTTTTTTTCATGAATAGACACTTTTAAAAAGGCGGCTATACTTACAACAAAAAAAAAATATCTACACAAAACTGAAGTTATTTAATTTTGATTTAATTATGAGAAAATTTTATTCTTCTAATAGAAAGGTTAATGAACATATTGATTTCTTCTAATTTTTTTTTTTCAATTTTATTTTTTTCATGCTAGTATAATGTATTTTAATTTAATGGATGGATTATTATATTTTCTTATTTTAGAACCACTTAAATTTTTTTCTTTATAATTGTTAAAAAAAATCATTATTTGAATTTTTTTTTTTTATTGTAATTTAATGGAAGAATATTAAATTACTCATATTTTCTGTTCTGCTGTTTTTAATATAATAAATAAAAAACAAAATATAAGAAATAACTTTTTATTTTATAAATTAAAAAAAAAATAACCTAATAGCGGTTTCCCCGATTTCTCTGTTTATTTGTAAAAGTTATAGATTTTACGAAACAAATAAAAATAAATTAAAAAATAAAAAAAAAAATAGGTACTCTTCAGCGCTTGTAGTTTGTTTTTCTTGAGTTTTGTTTTTTTTTTTTTGTAAAACTATAGATTTTAAACATAAAACAGAAAACCTAAACACTTGAAGAAACTCTACAACACCATCCTAATTTTAAAATTTATATTTGGATTTTTTAAATATATCCCAATATATATTCATTCACTACCTTGGGTAATAAAAATATTAATTCGAATTTATTATTAAATTGAAAAATACTATTATTTTTGAATATAATTGAAAAAATAAAATATTTTTAATTATGAAACACCATTGTTTAGAATATTCCAAAAAATATACAAAAATCAAGAATGAATCAATTTTTATAATCACATAAAAAAATTTTTATAGAAATTCTTAAAAAAATATTAGGGTACATAGATAAAGGTTTATTATAAGATAAAAATTTTACTTAATGGACTCGTCTCTATTATTATTATTATTAGTTTTTTTTTTTTGACCAATTTCTAAATAAGAATAACTTATCTAGAAATAAGTTTAATATATCAAAATAAACAGGATCTTTCAAATTTAAGTAATTTGTAAAAATTTTCTCAATCTCTATTAAATTTAGGTAAAAAAATTTAATAGAGACTAGTCCCTTAAGATAAAATATTTTTTTCATTACAATTTTCCACTTCCAACAACGTCAAGACTTTTGTATATTTGGGTATGTTGATAATTGTTGGGTTAAACGGGGATGTATACACATACATATATATTGTTTGGTATGAACTGTGTTGGGTTAGATAATGAAAAATTTCCTTTGCAATAGAAAATTAAATAAGGTTTGATTTCAACCACTTTCATAGGGCGTTTGTGTTTTAGATATTACTATGTTTTTTTTTTTTTTTTGGATTGTATTTCAGATTGAAAATTTTGAGTAATTATACAAAACCAAACAATTTCTTAAAAATGACACCTTTTATGTTTTGTTGATATCATGTAGTAACAATCATAAATACTTATGATATCTAAAAACCCAGCCCTAAAATACATAATGGGCCAAATACAATTAACGAAAATTTGTAATTTTTCGAATGTAATTTTATATATTAAAAAAAAAAAAAAATTCAACAATGAAAAGCAAATTTTATCCACTATTATCATTTATCTCCACGCATAGAATTTTCTTAGATTCAATCCAAAAAAATGTTTTTTTAGTAGTTATTCACTTTTCAGTTATATTTGATTTCTAAGATTTTTAATAGATTCAGAAATCAACATTTTACCATTATTTTCTTGACGAGACAATTCCGTAAAAAATGATCCAAATCTTAAACGATTAAACTATTTATTTATTTTACATAATTAACACCTCTTTTCTTTTCTTTTTATTTATGAAAAAAAATTGTCTGTTTTGATTATATATATATAATTGTAGAAGCTTAAATAAAGACCATTTCAAAATTTTGACACAAATGAAATAATAAATTGAACGATATATATATATATATACTTTCGTATTCAAGTACAAAAAATAATTGAATCTGATTTGTAATTAACTTTTCAATAATTCTAAATCCATAAAAACCCGATATTTTAAAAATTTTTGTAAAAAAACAAAAACAAAAACCAAAAAAAAATGAGTAAGATTTTTTGAAATAAACATTATAAATATTATATTACTGTACTTTTACTGAAAAAAAGGTAAGAAGAATTTTTTTTGCTAATAATTAAATTATTTTTATAAGACATTATAGAGCCTCAACCTTCTTGTGATTATTTGTCTTTTTGAAGATCTTTTTTTTTTCACATGATCCTTTACAAAAAAAAAGAAAAAATAAAAAATACTAGATAAAAAAAAAAAAAAAGAAAAAGTAAAGAAAAACAAAAAAAAAGGAAAAGAAAAAGAAAAACAAAAGAAAAACAAAAATTTGAAAATTCAAAACAAAATTTGCACAATGAGAAAAAAGATTCTGATGAAAAAATTTAAAATTATTAATTGGATAAGAATCCTGAAAAACCCCACAGAAAAAACCTCCATTAATATTAAAAAATGAGTTAAAAATTTTAAAAAATGGTTTTGAAGTTGGCACAAGCCATTTAACTTTTTTCTATATTTAGTTTTATTTATTTTTTATTTTGAATAGAATTACAATAGATTTTCGATAAAAACAAATCAAAAAAAAAAAAAAAAAAAAATAAATATACTCTACCTAACGAAAAGACACAAATACCCATTAATATTTCACTTAATAACACACACACACACACACACACACACACACACACACACACACACACACACACACACACACACACACACACATATATATATATATATATATATATATATTATGGAATATCTAAATTTCCGAGGATTTAAAAGAATTCAGAGAACTTAATGATATTTCTTTATTCTTTTAAACCATCAAAAAATTGAAGACATTTCAAAATTTTAAATTTTTTTAATAAATTAATTTAATAATTTTTTCGGTTAAATTTCCAATTCACGAAAGATTTTAGATTTCAAATTACAGTCATTTCGATTTTTAAGACAATATTTCTAGGAAGTTTAAACCCCAGAAAAATCTCAATTAATGGAACATTTTTTATAATTTTTTTTACAAAAATTATTTTGTTGTAATTCAGAATTTTGTACTTTAATTTTAGTATTTTTTTCTCATAAAATTTATATATAATTTTATAACTTAAAAGTAGAACTAACTATAATATAAAGATTTTTTTCCAAATTATTTTTAATAACATTTCAAAACACTATTTATGCGTTTTTTTTATTGTCTTTAGGAAATTTTATTATAACAAAACTATTTAATTATCTAAAATTGTTTTACTACAAGAAGAGTTTCTTCAGAATAGTAAACAAACACCTTTTTAGTCAAAGGCTACAAGTTTTATTGAAGAAATATAATATATTCTAAGACTTTAATTCATTATTCTTCTCAAACCAAAATTTTAATTTTTAGATTAAGAATATTTTTTTTCTTTTTAGTAACTTTTTTTTTTTGTATTTTACTTTTTGCTTTTTTTTTTCTTTTCTTTTTTCTTCTTTCCTTTTTTATTTTTTTGTTAAAAATTAAATTTGAAAAAAAAATGTTTGAAACTACAAATTAACATTAAGAAAAGTGAGGCTTTATATCTTCTGTTAAAATTCATATACTTACAAGAAAAAAATCTGATTATCAACAATTTTAATTTCCTAAAGAAATTGAGAATTTTGCACTAGATGTTCCAAAAAAAGGGGCCCAAAATTTTTTTTAACATATTTTTTTTTTTGAAATTTATGGTTTGTTAAGGAATTTGTTTTATGTTTTTCGGATCTAATACTGGATTTGATTTTTCATGTATTTCTAAACAAATTAAGTTGGTTGATTCTTAAAAAAATACTGAATTTTTCATTTTTGGATTTGTCCCATTGAGTGAATTGGAGTTTATGCTTATTTGTAATACATTACCTAAATAATAAAACTTAACATCATTTATGATCTTAATTTTATTTGATATTTTTTAGGTATGTGATTATAGGTGACTTTTTTTTTTATATTATTTATACAAGAATATTTTTCCCTTAAAAATTTATTCTTGATCATCTTTCTCATCAAAACAAAAGTTTATAATTCTGTTTACCAGTTTAAAATAAAGTTTATAGCTTTACTATATTACCCCTTTGTATATAAAGTATTTACTTTTATTTTAATTTTGATATTTGTAAAAAAAATAGTATATGCTTGTTGAACATTCTTATTTGTGCTTATATTTTCGGGAATTTAATAGAAGTGAGTAATTTTTTTTTTTTTTTTTCTATCATTGTGAATACTATTAAGGCGAGTCACTTATAATATTCTTATTTTTTATTTAAAGTTGTATTAATTAAGAAAAAAAAGTTTATTATCATTTAGTAATTATATTTGTATTGTATTTTTCTATGATAAGTATATTATTATTTCAGTCAGTTCAACATTGAATATGAATATTTTAATAGTATTTGTATGTATGAATTATGATCTTAATTTATTATACTTGAATTAAGTTAATGTAATAAACTTTAAATAAAAGAAAAAAAATTTAAAAAAATCAAAAGTATAGTTATTTTATAACAATATTTCAAAAATGGCTTTTTGAATGTATGGGTCTGTAGCTCAGGGGTAGAGCGTCTCTTTAGCGTAGAGGAGGCCTGGGGTTCGATTCCTCATAGATCCATTTTTTTCTATATTTTAACTATCTTTTTTTTCAACTTTCATCTTCTCCTCTGTAATCTTCATCACCATTCTAATATAGTCTCTTTTGTTTTGGTTTTTGAATATCTTTTTGGTTGAATTTACAATTTTTTTTCTATTTTTTTAACATTTTTACTTCTAATTATTTTATTAAATTCAAAATCTTTTTGTTTTTTAAAGCGGTAGCCACAGTAAAGGAAAATTCTTCACATTTCTACCAAACTGAAGAGGATCAAAATATAACATTTTCTACATTGGTTGTAACTCATTGATTTTTATGATTTAAAGTAGAGTAGTGAAAAAAATACCGGACATGAAAAAAATCCCGGACAAGATTTTTAATTGTGAATATTAGTAATATTATTGTGTAATTTCATTTATTTACAATCAAATTCCTTTTTTTAAGAATCGAACTTATTCAATTATAACTCCCCCACTTATTAGAATGATGATTGATGAAATCACACTTGTTCAAAACACCATTCAATCAATCAAAAAACAAGAAGAAAAATTATCATTTTCCAAACTCTAGTAAACCTCAATAAAACTGGATTATTTTTCAAAAAAAGTTGATCAACATATGGCTATCAAGCAATTACTCGAGTATTCTAGAGACACCTTACTTTGATGGACTTTAGGTAGGTTTATTACTAATCTCATAAAAAAATTGGTTATTTATAATAAGGATTTCATTTTAAATAATTGAAATTAGACAAAAATTTTACTAATATTCACAATTAAAAATCTTGTCCGGGATTTTTTTCATGTCCAGTATTTTTTTCCCTACTATACTTCATTCATTAGATTTTTCAATTTTTTTTTTCAAAAGTCTCAAAGAAATTGACACAATAGAATATTGAGTTGAATTGCTTAAAATAGCTTTTTGAATGCTGAATGGCCCATATTTTGATCCTTATCTCAGCATTCTATTGTGGTATTTAATTTTTTCATTTTTTGACTTTTTCAGCATTTTTGAATTTTTTTGATCAACACACCAAAAAGTAATAAGAAAGATTTTTTTTATCCGTGACATTTTGGATTAATGAATTTTGTTGAAAAAGAACAACAAAATTATTATCGAGAGAATCACAAAAGAAAACACACATGGGGCTTAAATAACTAGAAGGATTCCAAAAAATAATAATTATCCCAAAACATATCTGATTAGGATTTTAAATAGTTGGATTTGGTGGAATAAAAGAAGCGAATATGATTATATTCTATCAAATTTTAAACACCAAAAAGCTCTAAGTTTTATTCTAAGAATCTAAAATTATCTTCCCCCAAAAAAAAAAAAAACTAAACCCCATCCCAAAAATTTGGACACATCTAAAATCAAAAATAGACAAAAAAAACTCAATTTATTATATTTTTCCAAACCTAATATAAAAACACATTTAAGTTACATAATATTAATGTTTTTAATAAGTAATCATTTTCATCCAAATCACAAAAAAACAATATAAAACTCAAAAATCAAAATTTGATGTGTCCAAAATAATTAAACGAGCTGAACAAAAAATATATTACTAAATTTGTTGAAATTTCACCAGAAATTGTTTATTAATCAAATGATAAGATACCATGTACCAATTGTATGTGGATTTTTCATTAAACAAACTCAACAGTAACCTTCTATCAACCAGTGAAAAAAAAATTCTCAGATATAACCAAACAGATTTCGTACTTGAACAAAACGAAATGAATATAAAACAAAAAAGACAAAAAATGAAATGGTTTGTAAAATCAAATAATTTGCAAATTGAATGTAAAGTGTGTTATTGCTATTCTTTCAATTGTTTAGAATGTACCCAAAATTTTTGAATTAGTTTATTTTGACGAAAAAAAAAAAAATCAAAACTATTTTATCAATATATTCGCTTTTTTTATATTGGTGAACCTTACTAAAAAAAAAAATATCAAATAATTTTTTTAAAAAAATTTTTAGAGAATCTACGATCACACGCCACTAAAATAAAATACTCTTTTTTCATCTCTCTCAAATTTTTATGATTTCTTATGGTGTAGCTACCCCCTTAATTTTTTTATATTAGCTGTGTTTATTTTCCAAACAAAAAACCAAGATTCAAAATTCCCCAATTTTTACAAACAATTTATACGTCGTTATACAGTGCTTTATTTTTTGAATCGGATCTTTACATAAATCCTTTTTTGTTGCTTTCTACATTGGAATTGGGATTTTCTTTTTGAAAAAGTTATTTGAAATTCAAATGGGGTTGGTAATTATTGTTTGATCAAATCGGTATCTGCTCTGAACAATTTGCAGTTGTGATTGGAAACTCAATTCTTTTTACAAACACCCCATCTCAATGACAAACATTTTTCAAAGTTTTGAAAGGTCACGGTGTTGTTTCTTCGTTGAATGTTAATCTTTTTTTAAGGAAGTAAGTACATTTTACCATTTTGAAAAATTAATAATTGTGTAAACATTTCTTAAAAATATTTTTTGAGTGACACTAGATATCTTAACTTTGAAATCAAAATATCATCCACTTTTATATTCATGAAAAGAAAGCGAACTAAAAGTAATTCAGAGTTGAATCTTTTATTTTTCAATTTTTTGAACCTTTTTTTTTTGATTAAATTTTTGGTTTTATTATATTTTGTTTTGGATCTCGAAAAGTGTTTATAAGAACGAGCGAAATTAATCAAAGAGTAAACCAAACAAAAAAAAAATATATACCTGAAAAGGTGTATATTTTAAACAAATATTTTCTTTAAAAAGACCAAACACGAAAGATCACCCTTCTAATTAAATTTGTTGAAATCAAGAATAAAAAAAAAAATAAAATTCGACCAAAAACCTATTTTCGAAGATTTTTTTCATAATTTCTATGTTTGATGAAACCCAAACAATTTTTTACCTTGGATTTCTTGCACCATTACTATTTCTTATTATTTTTAAATACTCTTTTTATAAAAATTCCTTTCAAAATTCTTTTTTCAAATATTTTTATCAAACCAAAGCCAAAACAAAGAATACTATTACAAAAAATAAAATAAAGGGGTTGAATTCTCGAAATCAAAAAAACAGTTACAAAAGATTCAACCCAAAATAAAAGAAAAATTTAGAAAAAATTTCAATCATGGATTCAGAATTATTTTAGGTTTCTAATTTAATAGAAAATAAATAATTATCAAATCAAACAAATTTGTCATTCAATAAACCCTTATTTCTCAAGCAGAATTAAAAAAATAGCCAATTTATCTAAACCCAATCAAGAATTGTATGAATTAAATGAAAATAGGAATTTTAAATCAATTTTGGGGAATTCTTTAGAAATGAAAAGTAATTTTATTTCTCAAACATTTTCCAAACAAAAATATTTCCATAAAGAATTAAAAATAAAACCAAGTAAAGAATAAGTAATTGTGTCAAATGTTATAGATAAGATCAAGAAATAAATGATTTTTATTTATTTTTTCTTGACCAATTTTTTCATTTTTTTGATTTCCATTTTTTTTAGTTGGTATGAAAATAGATTATACTGGGATATATCATACTTCCATATTTATTAAAATATCAATATATTTGATTACATAAATGATTTGAAGAATTCAGTTCCATATAAATGATGGCACTCAAAAAATGAAAAATGTACTTACCCTCTTAAAAAAATATTCTAAATATTTTGATAAAAGATCAAAAATTAAATTAATTATTTTTTCAATTTAACATTTTCAAGTAAGGTTTAGATTTTGATTTGAATTCTAATTACATTATTTGATTCAAAAAAACTTATAATAACAATAAAAAGAGTAATAGTGTGAATCAAATGAGACATTTTAGAAATTTAAAGATTTGGAAAAATTGTGATAATCATTATTATCAGTTTTCATTTTCTGTTTCGTTTTCATTTTCGTTTTGTATTTCAAGTTGTTTGTTTTCTTTGAAAAGTATTTCCCTCTCCTCTTTTAATTTCCCATTTTCTTTTTCTTCTTCTTCTTGTTTTTGTTTTTCGTTTTCTTTTTCTTCTTTTTTTTGTTCATGTTTTTTGTTTTCTTCTTCCTTTTCGTTTTCTATTTCTTTTTTTTTTTTTTTTTTTTTCTTCAAATTTTTTTCATTGTTCTTTTTTTTTTTTTCTTTATTTTTCACATATTTGCTTGCAAGCAATAAAATAGTTTCCACAGACAAATTTTTAATTTCGTCTGATAAGCCAATTGATATTTTTTCAAGATCGGTAAGTTTTTTATAAACCTGTGAGAACCTGATCCAATATTGCCTTTCTTCTTGAAGCAATTCTAAAACTGTTTTTAATGGAGACTCTTTCGTTTGTTCACTATCAGTTGACTTTTCTGATCCAAACATCCCCATTTGTGAATTTTTTTTCAATTGCTCTTGTTGCATTAATTGCCTGTATTGTTTTAACTTTTCTAAATTCTCTTCAAGACAATTTTTTATGAGTTGTTGGAATGAAGGCCTTGTCCAGCCAGATACTCGGGAGTCTTGGAACTTATCTCGAAGACCATTCCCTTTACACAATTTATCAAAAAATTGCTTTGTTTTGTTTTTTGAATTTGCAAAGTCTTCAAGCAGTTTGCGTTGTTCCTTGACCTTGAAATTAATTATGCTGGATGGGTAATTATAAACTACATATATTTTGTTGTCCATATTCATTTTATGTCAAACAATTGTTTCTTTGTTTTTTTTAGAATTAGAAACAATCTTGAACAAAAAATAATAATATTTAAAAAAAATGATTTTTCTAAATCTTGAGTTGTGAGTTTGTAGAAAATTATTTGATGTTTGGGTTTTCTTGTTCTTGTTGTGAACATGAAGGTAAAGAATATTCTTTGTTCTCCAAAAATACGTTTGTTGGAATTTACCGAGTATAACTCAATCTGCTTATTATTGTGCTCGTTATGTTCAATATTTTCTCATTTCAATTAAATTAAAAACAAATTTTAAGGCAAACACATTTTCAATACAATTTAAGTGACTTACAATCAATTGAATCACAA